ATGGAACCAGACTGCCACATCTTTCTCCCTCAGAGCCACTGGTAGATTAGAACCACCTACCTTTTGAGTAATAGGTGAGCACTTAATCATTGTACCACCAGAGCTCCTTTTAGTGGAGTCTCACTGCCATCGAGTCAGATCTGACTCATAGTGACCCCTCCTTGGGTTTCTGAGGCAGTATCACTATGGAAGTAGATTGCCCAACCTTCCTTCCAAGGAGTGGGTGGTGGGTTTGAACCACCAGCCTTATGGTTAGCAGTCATATGCCTCAGACACTGTGCCACTGATTGATACATGGATTCAAAAGGCTAAACCAAAAAAAAAAAAAAAAAAAAAAAACAGCCAAACCCACTGGCATTGAGTCAATTCTGACTCACAGAGACCCCCATTGGGTTTCCAAGATGGTAAATCTTTACAGAAGTGGTTGCCCCATCTTCTTTCTGCAGAGTGGCTGGTGGGTTTCAACTGCCAACCTCCCAGTTAACAGTCAGATGCTTTAGGTACTATGCCAATCAAAAGGCTAGGAGGAAAAGAAAGACAGCAAGTCTTTCTCTTTCCAGGAGTTATGCTATAAAAGAAAACTTTTATCTTTGTACCATTTTTTTCCCATTGTGATAAATATATATGTAACAAAACACTTGCCATTTCAACATATTTCACATATACGTTCATCATATTGTTCAACTATCACCTTTAATGGAAGCTCAGTATCCCCTAAGCAACCAATCTCCCTCTGTTTCCTCCTTCTTTCAGTGCACCCCTGGTAACCATTAACTTTGGTCCCTCTATACTTGCCTATTCTAGATATTTCATTAAATGGGATCATACGTATCTGTCCTTTTGTGACTGACTGCTTTCACTCAGCATAATGTTTTCAGGGCTTATCCATGTTGTAGCATGTCAGGATTTCATTACTCTTTATCACTGAGTAATATTAGTAATATTCCATTGTGTATATATGTAACAAACTTTGTTTATTCATCTGTTCATGGACATTTTGGCTGTTTCCACCTTTTGGTTATTGTGAGTAGTGCTGCACTGAACATTGATGTACAAGTATCTGTTTGAGTCCCTGTTTTCAATTATTTTGACTATATACTTAGGTCATATAGTAATTACCTGGGTCATACGGTAATTCTGTTTAACTTTTTGATGAAATGCTAAAATGTTTTCCACAGCAGCTGTGTAATTTTGGATTCCCATCAGCAGTTGATGACTTCTTTTTCCCCATCCTTGTCAACACCTTTTATTTTCTGTTTCTTTTAATCATAGCCATCTTAGTGAGTGTGAAGTGATAATCTCATTGTGGTTTTGATTTGTATTTCTCTAATGATTAATGATGTTGAGCATCTTTTCATGTGTTTGTTGGCCATTTGTACTTATTTTTGGGTAAAATATCTGTTCAAGTCACTTCTCCATTTTTTGATTGGTTTGTCTTTTTGTTGTTTAGTTATAGGAGATATATAAATACATGCATACATATATACATATATGTATATATATATATATTCTGGACATTAAACCCTTATCAGATGTATGGTTATTCCCCAGAATTTCTCCCTATCTGTGGGTTGTCTCTTTACTTTCTCAATAAAGTTTTTTGATAAACAGAAGTTTTTTATTTTGATGAAGTTAAATTTATCAGTTTTATCTTTTGTTGCCCATGCTTTTGGTGTCTTACCTAAGAACCCATTGTTAAAAACTAGGTCTAGAAGCACTTACCCCTGTGTTTTCTTTTAAAAGTTTTATGGCTTTAATTTAATTCTTAAATTTAGGTCCTTGATCTATTTGGAGTTAATTTTCATAAATGGTGTGTGTGATAGGGTTCCAAGTTCATTCTTTTGCTTATGGAAATCTAGTTGTGTCAGCACCATTTATTAGAGAGATTATTCTTTCCTTTGGATGAACTTAGCACCTTTGTAAAAAATCAACTTGTGTTGTATGGGTTTATTTCTGAATTCTCAATTCTATGCCATTGGTCTATATGTCTATATTATACCAGTACCATACTGTTTTGATTACTGTATCTTTATAATATATTTTGAGATTAAGAAGTGTGAGTCCTCCTCCTACTTAGTTCTTTTTCAAGGTTACTTGGATTATTTGAGGCCACTTATGATTCCATATAAATTTTAAGATTGGCTTTTTCATTTCTGCAAAGAAGGCATTTGAGATTTTGATGAAGATTACACTGAAGCTATAGATTGGTTTAGGTAGTATTGACATCTAAACATTAAGTCTTCTGATCCATGAGCATGGAATGACCTTCCATTTATTGAAATCTTTCATTTCTTTTAGCAGTGTTTTATAGTTTTCAGTATACAAGTCTTTTACTTGGTTAAAATTTTCCTAGGTATTTTAGTCTTTTAGATGGTATAAATGGAATTGTTTCCTTAATTTCTTTTTCGTATTGTTTATTGCTGATATATAGAAACCCAACTGATTTTGTGTTGACCTTATATCCTATAACTATACTGAATTAGGTCTAGTAGCCTTCTTGTGGATTCTTTGGCATCTTCTATTTATAGGATCATGTCATTTGCAAAAAAGTTATAGTTTTACTCCTTCCTTCTCAATTTACATAACTTTTAATTATTTTTCTTGCCAAATTTCTCTGGCTAGACTCCCAATGCAATATTGGATATCTGTGGTGAGAGTGGGCATCCTTATTACTGATTTTAAGTGAAGGCTCTCAGTCTTTCTCCATTAAATATGATGTTAGCTGTGAGTTTTTCATAAATATCCTTTGTCGGATTGAAGACTTTCCTTCCTATTCCTAGCTTTATTATTATTTTTTTTTAATCATGAATGGCATTAGATTTTGTCAAATGCCTTCTCTGGGTTGATTGAAATGATCATATGATTCTTTTTCTTTATTCTGATAATATGGTATATTAGAATATTAGTGTTTAGTACTGCACTGTTTTGACTGTGGCTCACTTTAAAGATTGAATGTTACCAGTTTTTAAAATAAAACTGTTGCAGTTTTCATCTCTATGAGATGCTTTATTAATTTATTTGCTTTGTGGAAATGTAATATTGCACTGAACTTCTTTGCAGGTAGTCTACAAGGAAGAAATTACCTATCCTGTATTCACTAGGGTTGAGGCAAAATAATTAGTTGTGGTATTTACTTCCAACCCTGTGGCAACTCCATTCTCAGCTGGAGTGACTCAAAGAATCTATAATCTTTTATGAATGAGAATTATTTGAATTGAAAGTGGGTGTCTGTGGAAGGGCCTAGGAGACCATGGATTCGTCTGGGAGTGGGAAAGCCACAATTTGAGAAAATAATTAAGGAGCACCTAGTGAATGTCTATGCCAGGCATTAAATGTTCATGATCTTGAATCCCTCCCCTCATTCTTTAAGATAGGTGTTACCCTCATTTAACTCTTTAAGAAACTGCGGTTCAGAGACGTTAACTGATTTGCCCAAGTTCATAAACTTACAAGTAAAACAAAACAAAACAACTCAAACTCACTGGCATTGAATCGAATGTGAGTTATAGTGACCCTACAGGACAGAATAGAACTGCCTCATAGGGTTTCCAAGGCTGTAATCTTTATGGAGGCAGACTGTCACATCTTTCTTCCACAGAGCAGCTGGTGAGTTTAAACCGCTGACCTTTTGGTTAGCAGCAGAACGCTTTAATCACTGTGCTACCAGGAGTCCCTTAGTTTATAAGTACTGGAATCAAAATCTGAACCTTGGCTTGGTTGCCTCTAAAGCCATACTCTTTCAGTTAATTACCCCATAGTTTATAAAAGAAGAAATTTAGAACTGCTTGGTTCTAGGAGTTCCATAGAACAAAGCCAATGTTGAGAAACAGGAATATGGTGTGTTAAAAGCATGGACTTTGGCACTAGGCTTACCTTGAATACAACTTATTTATCCCTAATTAGTAGAGACCACTTGAGCCTTGTAATTTAACATATCTGAGCCTTGGCTCACAAACTTACAAACGGGGATAACAACACCTGCCTCACGAAATGAGTGGACAGATATAAATTGTCTGGCATGTAGTTGAAGTTGAATAAATGATAGTGCCTTAGCCCCTGATTCTGTGGTCTGCACTTACTTCCTTGAAAAACAAGTGGTTATAAACACCAAATGCATTGATTTTCTAGAAAATTAGAAAACTTCAATGTAACATAATTTTGTAAACAAAGTTAAGTTATATAAGCATAAGTGTATTAAGATGTTGATATCTGTTCATTGCTTCTGTTTCATTTTACCTGGGTCTGTGTTAGGACAGTATTTGTTGTTTGATGGTCTTTAGTCCACTATATGTGTGGGAATCATACTTTCTGATGCCCACAATGGTAATGTATAATCTGATAAATGTGAACTTTACTATGAAATCAGGGAGACAAAACTTTGAAACTAAGCTTGTTCCATAAAATCCAGGCTATTTAATGATTATAATGAACTATAGTATGCATGTTCGTGTTAGTTTAGCAGTAAGCATAGAAGGCAACTCCTTCTAAGAGGTGTGGGAAGGCATTTTTGCCCAAAGCAGTCCCTCCTTACCTAGCTTCTGTATTGCCAAATTCCACAACTCTTGGCCCTCCAGAATCCAGTGGTCTTGGAGGAACTTGTTTTCTTGACACAGGTATAGATTAAGTCATTCATCATGTCAGGTGATGAAATATGAGGTTTATTGGTCCTTTCCTAAAAACAAATTATTGATAGAGTGGCAAGAGAAAAGGGCAAGCGAGCCAGAGAGTAGAAGACAAATTTACTATTTCACAGGTGTCTTCGGGCTTTCCCTTTTTCCCGGGTATTAAGAAGGATGAGAATTTGTATACAATTTAATAGCAGAATATTTCTGTTTCTGGTATATTGGCAATGGAAATTTTTACCAAGTGAAAGAGAATGAAACTACTGAAATGTTTTCATCTACATATAATAGTCACAAGTAAAGTAATCTTTGGGAAAAATTATATTAATCTCCTTAATTGATATCCCTCCCTTCTTTCTAATAGGATAATCATAAGAAATGGATTTTAATGTCTGGAATATCAAAGAGATGCTCAGTATTCCTTCAGGCTCTGGGTAAGTTCTCTGATTATATTCTCTGGGGTTTAGGAGGGTTTTATAGTTGCATTGATTTCATAGCATGCTTTCTTCTTTCTCCAACCCAGCTAATTATTCTCTTTGGTCCAAGAGGGAAGTCACAGAGAGCTATTTTGAGCAATGATTATGCAACCCATATTACAATATATGTGTGTAGCTTATTACCTTAGCTAATCTCAGGAAATAGTTTTATGACCCAAAATAGTTGCCCTTCTCTGTGCCAAACTATTAGAATTTCTTTTTGTTTTCTATTAATAATATGAAGATTCCTTGGGCTTAGAATACATAATTTCTTTATGTTTAACATTTGGAAAAGGAGTGATTTGTGTGTGTTTTAATGAGTATCATATTTTCTCACGTTACACAGCAGCATTATGTAACACAAATTGTTGATATGTTTTTAAAATAAAAACTTGAAGACTGTGTATTTTACTTGTCTACTACTGGCTCAGGTATAGCAAGGATTGTAAGGCTAGCACAGGACCAGGCAGTGTTTTGTTCTGTTGTACATAAGGTCGCTATGAGTCGGCGCTTACTTGACAGCACCTAACAACAACAACAACTACTTAGATGTTGTCTCTATAGTACACTCTGTGCACTATTTACAAGTGTGATTGTATTCTTATAAATATCACCGATCCTTTTACGTATGAGGTGTTTAAAGACTGGCATAGATATGCATGGGAAGCAAATTAGAAGTCCACAACTGGAAGTATTTAAAACAAGCAAGGACAAGACACTAAAATGGTGAAAGGAAATGACACCTTGCTTCAAAAACAATTTTTTTTATAATTATTTTTTTATTGTGATTTGGGTGAAGATTTACAGAGCAAATTCACTTTCCATACAGCAGTTCACATATACTTTGTCTCATGTCATTGACCACAGTTTA